TTTTTTTTTTTGTTCTGCTCTTTCTCTTTTTTCTAAATACGAGCTCGCTCAGACAGAGGCTCAATTTAAGGAAAAAGAGCATTTGTTGAGAATCTTGAGAAAAAGAAGTCATCGGCAGCCAGAATAGCTAATGTTACTGAAAAACTTTTCTCAGATAACAACCGAACGCCTGCCTGTATTCCAATGAGTTAGATAAGTTGTATCCAGACAAAACTTACCAATATAAATGAACTGAGCTCTGACTCCGTAGCAGTACAAAACGTGCGCACCTTGTGCTGAAGGGATACGAAGCGGAGCAATTGCATCAGTTAAATTTTGATATTTGATATTATTCATGAAAACTTCATAAAACCTAAAATTAATTTTCGGTAAGGTAACTGGCCACACTCCAATCATTTTTTAACACAAGAGGATTTAGAATTATCATGAAGCCAAAAAAAGGTTCGACAGGTCCATTTATATGCAGGTTTTGAAGACATAAAAGCAATTTTCATGTTCTTATACGTTCAAGAAGACGTGAAAAATGTGGCTTCATGATAGCGTAATACTGCGCTTATTTAGCATTACGTCAGTAGTGTAGAAATAGTGCTGTTCTCCCGTAACTTTGATAATAATAATAATAACGCAATAAATAATAATAATAATTTGAAGTAATAACAATAATTATCTCTTGTGCATGTTATAATTCGTCGAATCGGTGAAAAACCTACCCACGGAGCAAAACCAATATTTTTTAGTATTCACTGACAAAGTGCTTCCACATTCTTTTACAGGGACCGCAAATAGGCTAGGACTGCATCGGGTAGGAACACTAACCACTGCAAAACAAAACGCTGGCAGGACAAAGTGAAAAGCATGTCCTGTCCGGCAATTTTACTTCGGTGGTGACCGGGCATTGTTCTGTCCCCATTTACTTGCCGTATTTATTATTACCAGAAAAATTAGCAGAGAAGAAAGGGTTTTTTAAAAAATTTACCCAAGGTCAGCATTACTGTGGTCCACAATCATATGCAAGTATTTTTCTTCCTCATAGATGTCAGCAGATCTCGCCCACATATCAACGGAAATCAGCGAGCATTTGCGATCAGCGGCGACTTCACGACAGGCTTTGATCAGAGCTATTGCGGTTTTACCGGTGTGTGAACCGACTTCTACAATCCTGAATTTCAAGCTGCAGTTTTTCAAAAAATGCTTACTCTGGAATATTTTGCCGCAGTCATGCTCGGAGCATTTTTGTCCCGGAACTATTCCCCATCGGAATGAAATTGAATACCGGGACAAATTATAAGTGAACTTGGTGAAAAAGAAGGAAAAAATGGGGGCACATTTTGCTGAAGCAGTTTAAGGATTGTTTTTGACGAAATTTTACACAAACATTTATGGAAAAAAGGCAATCATGAACCTTTTCATGAGAAAAAGCACTTTTTTGTGAGTGGATGCTAGTGCACTGTTGCCTAGATGATAAGTAGTAGATGAAGAAAAAATATTCTCCAACGTGCTGCACCAAAAATAATAGCTGACCGCGCAGGAATTGTTTGTGCAATCATGAATTTCACAAAGTTTCTTGCAAAAATGAGATCGTGAGCAACGAATGCATTCTCTATTGTAAAAGTTCTTATTGGTTTTTTTCTTACTTCAGAAAAGAGGACCATCAGCTAAGCCGGTGATGCTGCACTGCGGGAGTCCATAATTTCAGCTTTTCAGACTTTTTGATTACTGACCTGAAGTGGGTGGCACACGAAGACATACAGCTAGCGTACAAAAACACACATACAGACTGAACATACGCCGACAAACTCACAACTCGTATGCTACAGGAACGCGTAAAAACAAGAAAAATGTTCAGAACCGGTAAATTTTAGTGTGAAGATTTTATTTCGAATAAATCTCCGCCCTTTTACGGAAACGGAAATATTGTTTTGCAAATGTTTTCTAAAAGCAGTCTCCAGCAACTTCTGCTGCTTCTAATTTTTATGCATTTTTTGCAGCTATGCAATGCAAAAACGCATGTTGTCGAGGGGTTGTCTCTGTGTGTGTTGTGTGTGTGTGTTGTGTGTGTGTGTGTTGTGTGTGCGTGTATATGTGTCTGTGTGTGGGCCTGTAACGAGTTTTCATCTCGAGATTCACAAAAGTTACACGGCTGAAAATTTGGTGACTTAATCTACACATACGTACGGGCTCGTATCCTCAAAATGGGCGCTCAGGTCCGCGTGGTTCTCACGTAGGGGCACCTGAAAGTTTTTTTGGCGGGAAAGCGTTTTCGGGAACGACCTATGCTAGGAGGCTGGAACTTCACAGAGTTGTTCCT